CTCACAGGGGTAGGGAGGAAACGACCATGTACTCCAAGTTTTTTGGAGGAAGGAGGGGATTAACACATAAGGGTTTTTTTTAAAAGCCATGCTCCCATTTCAATTGACAATTTGCTGCTGTGGTGGACAGAGGATTCCAACCTTTTATCCCCTTTCTGAACAGACAAATTGGATTTAAACAGGTGTAATGGAATGCTGAAGTGAAAAGAAAAAAACGCTGAGGGGAGTTTGCCAACAATCAGTAGGCAAACAGGAAAATCGGGTTTCGGGGGGAGGGGGGGGAGAATAGAAGGTATCCTGGACTAGGTAGGGAGTCCCTTTATGACTGTAGTGTATGAGACAGGCAGGGTTCCTTGATAAAAACAGTGAATTACAAATACTGTTGAGTTATTGTCTTTAAGTATACTGTACCTCCCAGCTCTAGTAACTGTTTCAGCTATTAGACTGGAGGAGGAAGGCATCATAGGTCACACTTGCAAACTAAATAAACATATGTGTTTTGTTCTGTATTTGTCTCCCATGTCATTCTCAGCCTATACAGCCCACTTCACACTTTGTAGAACCCAGAGAAAAGGGGCCTTGATTTGTAGCTGATATGTTCTCTGATACAAGATTAAGGAATCCTGTTTAAGTATAAAGTAGGACAAACTAATAGAACAAATCCACTTTACCTCACACACCTAAAGTTAACAGTGAACTTGGTATAACAACATGACAGGAGGGTATGGGTGCTGAGATGGGTCACCTCTCTCCAGCCTGGAGGACTTATTATTGGCAAAGTAGTATAAAACAAGAGAAAGTCCTGGACCAGGGATTGTAATAGCTGCCCTTTAATGGAACCCCAAAATATGCTGCCTGAAGCAGGCTAGGCCCTGCCTGTAGGTGATATGCAAAGCATAATTCAGCACCATTGTAGCCAGGGAGGAGCTGAGGACAGAAATGGCTTCTCTACTGGCCCTTCACACATGAATAACACATACATACCAACCTGTGCTAGCATATACTTTAAACATGAATGTTGATTTCACTATCCTGTGTTAAAGCCATGGCCAGGATAATACAGATTATGCTTAAAATTCACCTTGCAAATGCAGAAAAAAAATCTCTCCTTTTACCATGATATGTAACCACTCTCTCCCCCACAAAGAAAATGAGACACAAGGACATGAATTATCAGAAAAAGGCATTATATTTGGGCTTACACCAGATTTCAAACTGATTTTGGTTTCAAGCAATTGAAATTGAAAGTCCATTTTGTGACATTAAATGACCCAGACAACTGTAATTAAAGAAAGAGGAAAACAGGGGGAAGGAAACACACTCATTATAGAAACTAAGGCCTGTTTTCTTCCACAGGAACAATCTGGGGAATGTTAGTTTCAGATGTTTGGTTTTTTCTCTTCCCCCTTGGGGTTGTTACTATCAAAAGCTTCACTGTTTCTTTAAAGCAAAGCTACAGTTCTTTTTCATAGTTTGTTTTGTTTTTGCAGTCTTACAGCAGCAAGTTTCATATCACCAGTAAGAAACACACATGCATGTCCTGCAATCAGATACAGACACACACACAGACACACAGACACACTCACAGACGTTATACAGTAGCGAGTTGCCACTATTGAGAGAGATAAGAGAGAAACACAGACACGCAATTCTTTTCAGTGGTCACTGTGAGAATCTCGCTAGACTTTTGAACTAAAAAAAAGAGAAAATACTGCGCAAGTCTTCCACCTTGATGCTGTAAGGCATCCTTTAGCAATGGACGGAGTTCTGGTCTCCATTTGTTCAACAAGCATCGCTGAAACCTAAAGGCACAGTGGCCAAAAAGACAGCCCTGTTCTCTGTGTGTGTTTCGTGTTTTTTTTTAAATTCTGTCATTTCAAACTAGCATGCTGGCCTGAAGTCAAAAAGCCCTACTTGCCCTTTTGCATTGCAGTGCCCCTGGTAAATGTCACAAGTTACCAGGAAGGCAGCTTTTTTGCCAGGAACCTCAACTCATAGCTGGGCTCTTTAGAGGCACCAGCTGAGGAATACATTTCCCTTGAAGCAGAAGGCAAATGCCTGCAGCCCCCTTCCCCATCCAATTTTGTACAGGCTTTATGGTTCAGGCAAACACTTTTTCTGGAAGAAACTGGTCCTTTATAGTTCCCAGCTTCAAGTGTCCTACAGGTTGCTGTAACCAATAACACACAAGAGATCACAGCAAGGGATTGATCACTGCAGGGGATTGATAGCAACCCTCCCAACAGCACTAACTGAACCGACTGCCAGGGACATCTAATGCCACTAGCTTCTGGGAAGACAGCCGGAAAGGGAATGGGGTGGAGAATACACTAGTATTCCTTGTTCTTACAAGTTCTAAGTCTTTCTGATTATAAGATAAAAGTCTTGGAAACTTAAAAAACACCAGCCAACCAAATATACCATCACCAAAATCAGCAATAGGAAAAGTTTCTTTTTTCCTTTTATTAAAAAAAAGATCTCACTTTTAAGCCCCTACAGTAAGATGGAAGAGAGGGGAGGCAATTTAGAAAAGAAGGCCCAGAAACTTCTGCCCCTCCTTCCATCCACTTAGGGTTATATTCCCATAATTAGCATCTTAAGAACCGCCTTGTTTTTGGTTGAAGTAATGTTTATCCTTTTATAGATCCTCCCTTCGGACTCTGCTGGTTTAGCTGGGGGATGTGTTGGCATGAGAGTTTGGGGAGTCCTGCTCATTTATGGTGTTCAGAAGCAGACACACAGGCTGCCGCGGGACGTGGTGGTGGCTATGCTCTTGGTGCTGCTCATCAGAGGCACTGAAAAGCCCATCTTCCTCATCTCCGTGCAGAGGGCGGCGACTGCAGCTATCACAGAAGTCCATGGGTCCATCGTCCAGGAACCCATCCAACTCCTTGAGATCACCATCGTGGTGGTCCTGGTTACAGATACAGATTTCGATGCCTGAGTCACCCGTGAACCGTCGGTGCCTGCCAGGTGTCTTGTCCTTTGCATCAGGGAAGGCGCTGTTCTGGTCTAAGCTCTCAGAGTTGTAATCCTTAAGCAGTTCCTCCTTGCACTCTGGCTCCTTATCAGAACAGGACACCCGGTCAGCCATCTCTCCTAGTCCTGCGCCGCTTGGCTCTCCGCTTGTTTCTTTGGTGGGTGATCGCTCAACTAGCGGAGTAGAGGATTCCAGACCCCCAATGCTGGAGGATGCAGCGCTGTCTAGGCTTCCATTATTGCTTCCTGCTGCGGCCAGAGAGCCTGTCTGGGCTGGCTGGAGGTTTCTCATGTCTGTGGCTGCGCTGCCACTGCCAGGCGGGACGCATTGCTGATGTAAGGCACTATATGGTGGGGGAGGGGTCGGAGGTCGATGCTCTATTTCCTCATAGGGAGGTAGTAAATAATTTGGTAAAAATCCTAAATGGGGAGGCAGGGAGGACAAGTTACTTTCAGGCTACTTTACTACATTAAAAACTAAAGCACTATTAGGATGCTTAACAGAACACTTTGGCATTTTGTAGTCAACTTGCTTTGAAATTACTCTAATAAAAGACCACCACCACAAAACCCCTTAATCCTGACTGGGTTTAGGAAAGCCATTGCTCCCATTTTATAGATGGAGAAAATGAGGCAAATGCAGCAAAGAACGGCATAACACAAGCAGGCAATATATGGTCCAGATGCCTCCTAGCCACAGGTCATCTGAAGCATGTTTGCAACTTCCCTTCTGGAATCCCTAAAAATGGGAACTGGAGGATCAACTGGATATTCATCCAATTGTCTCAGGACTAGGCAAAAAGCTCATATGTAGAGTGTGGGAGGAAGTGGAGACAATGTTCTATCACCCAGTTTAAAACTGGAAACTTAGGTTGGAACCTACTGGGCTCCCCCCCTCATGCAGAGCTTCCAAAGGACTAATTAACATTCACACATAACCCTTTACCTCTCTCCTGTACCTATTTCCCCATTCATACTCTCAGCTTTTTCTTCTTCCTTGCCAGTATCTGGCTACATGCTCTCATAGCCTACTAACCAACCTGTCTATTTTAAGTGGGTGCATTACATATGCCATATGTAATTTTTTCTAAGAGGAGCCTAATAAATCTTAATATAAAACAAGCAAAAATGAAGTCGGATTAGCCATCTCAGATGCTCTGTGGTTCGGTCCTAGAGCTGACCTGGCTAGTTTTATTACCAGTTATTTGTCTTAATGTAATTGTTTATATTTGGATTATTGTGCATTGCCTTGAACACTTCTGGAGATCCTGCATATAAATTCCCCAAATAAATACAAAGTGTACATGCACTGCATGACAAAGGTCCCTGGTTGAACCAGTGAGAGGATCTCGGAGAGCAGGTCTTGAGAAAGGTTTTCCTGTGACGGGATGCCTTTAGAGAGCCACTGATTAGACAATACCAAGCTAGATGGACCAATGGTTTTGCAGATACATATGCTCATATATAGGTCACATATAGTGCCTCTTTGCCAAAGAACTTTACATCTTATCTGAGGCTGATTATGTTATGTCAGCTGCAGACCAAAAATTGTGAGAAGTAAATCTCTCTCAACTTTGTCACTGCTGCCCAGGGTAGCGTGTGACCAAATGTTTCATAAACCATTTCCTCCTTCTGTGTCAGCCGCTGAAGCTGGAAAAGAGTCAGAGCCCAGCACAGCTGTAAGATACCTGATGTAAAACCATTTCAAGCATCTCTCTATGCAGTCAGGATATCTATCCATAAGACTTATATCCTGCCCACATTAGCAACAGAACAGGGTAAGTTACGATGGCTCTTCAGCTAGGACAGTCAAGCTGACACCACGAAAGACACAACTGGGTCACTCGAGGTGCCAATGATGATCACTTCATCCCCACCAGCCATCACCAGACCTGTCTGCATTCATTCCTACTACCTTTGCTGGGGAGCCCCATCAGTGGTTCTACCCAAAGGGGTAATGAGCTTTACTCTTTAAAAGGCAGCCTGCTCCTTGCATGCAGTACATACGGAAATAAAATGGCAGGGTGGAGTAGTTATGAGCTTCGCGATAGGCAATCAGGTTAATTTCATGCTGCCTCTGTTGTGCTTGGAGTCTGTGTTTGGCACGTCGATGATGGCAGACACAACAGCAGCTCAGTATAATGATGATCGTCCACACTAGCCAGAACCCTGTGGAGAAAGCGAGAGAGAAGAAAGTGCCATTTTAGAGAAGCGCTGAAGGGAACAAAGGTGGAGATGAAAGCAAAGGTGTTAGAGGAATGGGGGGGGGAGAATTGCCATTGTAAGGCACTGGTCATTGCACTTAATCCATGACTGACAAAAAGCCATGATCAATTTAGACAGCACACACTACCACCAGCACATTATGGCACGCTTGCGGTAACCCACTGACCTCTTGATTGGTACTAGATTGCCTTGCTTGCCAGTATAGGTGTTTAAAATCGCCAGCTTTTTGACTGCTGCCTGCTTCCTGCTATCCTGGCCTCTACAGGGTTTTTAAGATCTCGCACAGGCAAGAAGGCAGGCATCTTTTCCCTCTACACCTACATATCAGGCAGAAAACTAGCCACCAAGATTACCAACAGGTAGTGGTCAGTGGTCACTGTTAGCTACGCTCAAGGAGGGCTGTCACAGACACCACTCCATAGGCAGTGCAGGGCTGGATGCCTCAACCAGAACTGAATGGATGCTTACTCACATTTACCTCAGGGGACCAGCCTGCTCTATTATCCAATCTGGTGATACAATCGAGGGCACAGCAATCTAAGAATAACAAATCATGCAATTGCTGCAATAAGTTCAAAAATTACAGAACAATGACAATCAAATGTAGGCTTATTCTGATGTATTATTTCAAATATCTTCTTTTATTCCATAGGTCAAATGACGAACATCTCGAGTTTCCAGAGTTCGTTTCGAGTTCTTTATCAAAATTCCGTGTTGTGGTGGTATTTTTCAAACAATCCAATGGAGCTATTTCATAGCCATTTGGAAATTGAGATTCCTACTATTGGATTGTTTGAAAAATACCGCCACAACACAGAATTTTGATAAAGAACTCGAAACGAACTCTGGAAACTCGAGATGTTCGTCATTTGACCTATGGAATAAAAGAAGATATTTAAAATAATACATCAGAATAAGCCTACATTTGATTGTCATTGTTCTGTAATTTTTGAACTTATTGCAGCAATTGCATGATTTGCTATTATCCAATCTGTCAGGTCACTGGCTCACTCAGAAGCCAGTTCTCAAAATTCCTTGGCCAGCTCAGTCAAAATGCTGGGAGTCGCACCAAACCCAAACAGCTATTCTTCCAAATGGCACAACAGAATCTAAACCAGTATTTAACAGCCCTTCTTCCCAAATTCAGGTTACCAGCTTAGAATGAGGGCTCCACTAAAGGTGACTTGGGAGGATTTCTTAATACACTCCGAGACCATCCAGGCTTTTATTCTCTGCCCTCTTCACAGACTAATCAACAGAAAGTGGGACAGCTGCTCCAACAATGCAGTCCACAGACAACCAGCTGTCAAGGTAAAGAGCCTGCTGGAAACTGCCCTGGTTCCTACAAAAAGCACTGAACACTTTCTTGAGGCCATCATGCTCCCTCAATCCCTACAACTCTTACAGCTGTGGTGAATGCAATGCCTGCTCTTTCTTACCCATATGTTATACATGAGGGAGTACAAAATGATTAGGACAGATTAACACAAAAGTGTTCCTGTTGCATGTGCACAGGTACGTCCTACATTGGTACTGCTGCACCCACACAGCTGAAACTGAAAAGAAGGCTTCTCTCAACGAACCGGCCAAGACAGCCAAGTTACTACACAGCAAGGAACCGCACCTACTCGCATAAGTTAAACAAGCATATGAAAATATGAAAACATTAGCATCTTTTAGGGTCAGACCCTTAGTGTTCCCTGTGTATTTCAATGTGAAAAAGTAACATTAACCGGGAACCGACAAGTGGCAACTTGCCAAGTCTGGCTACAAAGTAAGACAATATAGATAACACAAGTCTGTACATAAGGAAATGAAATAAGAGTGCCAATTTACAGATGTTAGCCAACTTTGGCTTCAATTTTGGTCGTGGGCTACAGGTCAGATAATTTCTTGGACTGTCAAGAGACTCAATATGAATTGCTGTATTAATCTATTGGATTTGAAAGCACAAAGGACTCTTGTGACCTGTTACAGGCTAACCACAATCTCAGTACCCTGCACATCTGCCAAATGACAAGCAAAAGCAGAATGATTCACATTGTGAAAAACCTGTGGAAAGGACTTGTATATTTTACCAATGCTTACTCCTCAGGTGCTTTGTAATTATTATGACTGATGTATTAGGAGTATTAACTTATAGATATTTTTGAATTTAACATATGCAATATACTAATTCAGCTTTAAATTTTCACAAGCCCTCTATCTTCTGGGCTGTGATATTTATTTATCGAATTTATACCCTGTCCTCCCAGACGAAAGATATAGCTTCAAGAACAGATTCAGTGCTATGCAAATGAACATCAGGTGCTAGTTAATCTGTGCACAGATCAAAACATTCAAATGAATCGGGTAGTACCCACAAAAACACGTATTTTAAATAGTTTCAGGATACAAGAATGATTTTGCACAAATACTTTGACAAGTCAGAAGGGATCGTTATATTCTCAAAAAGAGAACTGCAGCCACACATATCCATGGGTCTGATGAACAGCATAATACCTGTTTTTTAACCAGTTTCCACTGTGCTAGCATCTGTCTTTGCAGGCCACTTCACACAATACTCAGTAGCAAGCCCACATTTGCAACTGAGTACGTGTTCACTACAGATTACAGGGGTCAATTCCAGCTCTTTGGCAAATGTACCTGTAACCGGCCTTGACAAATTTTCCTTGGCTATAGGAGCCAGACTAATTTTTCAGTACTTTTGCAACATCAGCTCCTAGGAGAACTACTTGTTTAGTAATCTAGTCAAACACAGACATCAGCTCCTAGGAGAACTACTTGTTTAGTAATCTAGTCAAACACAGTAGAAATGCTATAATCATTAACTTCACAAGTCCGAGATTTGCAGCAGTGTGAACATATTTATTTTAATGCCTTGCTTTAACACAGTATCAGTCATCATTCTAAAACAGTGAGTATCCCAGAATGATGACTGATATTGGTCAAAGACAGTGAATATCTTAGAAAATCTTGGGGACAGAGGACTGAAAATATTTCCTATTTTTCCATGCAAGCCTTAGAAAACCTGGTAACCTCACCATACCCTCCTCCTCATCCTTTAGTTCCTCAGTAGTTAACTGATACATGGGACATTAAAGTCTCCAAGAAAAATTCGTATCTTGTATCTAATTCTGAACTGTCCTCTTAAAGTCCAAATAAAAAAATGGCAGAATGAGGCCAGATAAAGACAAAAGCCATTTTAAACAGTCCTGAGGGGGGACCCCCCCCCTTATTTACAGAAAGATGTCAGAAGATTTTTTTTTTAATTGAGGGAGATAAAAATCTCTCCAAAGGGAGAAACGTTGCCTGTACTTGTGCAGCCAATTTTGCAACAGTCTTGGTCTCCATATTTGGGGTTCCCTAGCAACTCAAATAAAGTGTTTCAGACAGCAGGGGTATGTGAAAGAATCCACCTGTGGTAGTGAAATTGAGGCTGTCAGGGAGAAGGAAAGGGCAGCAAGAGAAGGTGGGGAAACCATGGTGGTTGGGTACGTGTGAATGGTGCCACTGTTGTGGGGAAAGTGAAGAAAGTACCACGTGGGGAACCATCCAAGCAGAACACAGCCCCTATAAAGTGACTCTCTCCCAACCCATCCATAATTTCAAAAACAAACACTGAGTTTTCCAGGATAGTAACCCGATTACTATGCTCAAATTGCTCAACTTTGTCTGTATTTATTTTGCACAGCTTATTCTGTCTCCAAGGTGTGGGTTTCCAGTAAACTTAGAAGACTTGGATAAAGGGAAAAGATGGCTGAAGAGACATGGAGATTGGGAAGGCATGCCAGAAGCAGCTTGGCAGGGTGTTGAAGCTATTTTTAAACACTTTACTGTTCAGAGATTTCACAAAACACTGCCAATGACCAAACATTCTCAGCCCTCTCTCGAAAGTCATGACAGCCTATAAAGTAGTGTTATTGTTTTTAAGATAAGGGGCTGTTGACAGCCGTATACTGCTGAATTCTGTGCTTACACGGCAATGCAGTGCTCCAGATGCTTATGGAAACACACAGCCAAATATTGTCTCACTGCCACCAACAGAGAGCTCTTCCTACCAGCAACAGAAAAGTAAAGGTAAAGGTTTCCCTTGCTCGAAAGCCAGTCGAATCCGACTCTAGGGTTGCGGTGCTCATCTCCGTTTCAAAGCCGAAGAGCCAGCGTTGTCCGAAGACGTTTCCGTGGTCATGTGGCTGGCATGAATAAACACCAAGGCGCACGGAACGCTGTTACCTTCCCACTGAAGTGGTACCTATTTATCTACTTGCAATTTCTTGCTTTCGAACAGAGAAGTACAGGTACATTAATCAGAATACTGTATCCAAGTTCTCATTCGCACGTAATATTCTGGCCAGATGGTCCATGTGAAAACTCAAACTGCTGAAATAATCTAGAGCAACTCCCCCATCCCGAAAAGGTGCAATACAAGAAGGATACATTTCCATGTTTCCCTAATGGCAAGGATCCAAGTGAAGAGCTCACGGAGGGAAGTGCCTTTTATCCTGCGCAAAATGAGAAAACATGTTTTCCCCTTCACTGTTCAAGAGGAGGAACAGAATAGTCTGCCCTAGAGTTCACAGTAAACTTGGGAAGATGCCATTACTTTACTGGCAGGAAAGCTCACTAGAGGCAAGCCAAAATGCATAGCAAATAATTTATCTGCCTCCCTGAGAAGCATTCTAGGCAATGGCCCTGACGTCTGTTTGGCCTAAAAGAAGGTGAAGTGGGTCCAGTTTCAGTTATTAGTGTAGGAGTAAATATAATATAGTTAACAGATTGAGCTGTGAACTGTTAAGTTTCTGGTTCAAATCCCCCACATTAGTTTGCTGTGCTGCAAAAGCCTTTTTAGACAGAGTAAGCATTAAAAAGTCAAAATAAACTCACTCACTAGAAGGCCTGGTTGAAGACAGTTTTGTCAGCCTCAGATAACCCATACTTCT